TGGCAGCAGGAGGAGCTGGCTCTTGGGTGGCTGGTGTCCAGGCTGAGGTGCCAGGCCTGTTGAGGGTCCCACGGCATCTCAGATGTGACTACTCAAGGCCTCGGGCAGCCGTGGCCCTCGTCTGCGTGGCCGTCCCCTCCTGGGTGGGTGGTGGGGTAGGGCTCCCGCTAATTCTCCTCGGGAATTACTGAGGAGGAGTGTGAGGGTTGGCAGAGACTGTCGCTGGGAGAAGGCTACCAGGTGACCCGGTTACTAATGCGGGTTTTTGTCAATAGACGGAGTTACACGTATGCTGACATACATGCGATTTGATCTGTACGCTATTTTGTTGTATTGACAACAAGCTTCAAAGCTTCATCTGTCAGGTTTTCTGAAGGTGTTAACGTCATAGATGTGTTTCCGCTTAAAAACGTCGAATTTCGTGCCCAAAAAAGAGCATTTGCGGGAAGTTTTAATTCACTGCTTTCTTTTGAAGAAAAGTGCTGCTGAAAGTGATCGTATATTCGGGAAGCCCATGGTGAACACGGTCCATGTCAAGATCCCTGCGAACGCTGGTTTGAACGCTTTAAAAGCGATGGTTTCGATGCGAAAGACAAAGAACACCCAGGTCAATGTGAACCGCACTGTGATCGTGAAACGACCAGCATGGGCCAGAAGACACGGCAAAGTAAAGTTGCTTCGTGATGACGCACCATCACACACTTCAAACCAGTTAAAGACACGTTAAAACAGTGGTTCTCAACCTTCCTCATGCCGCGACCCTTTAATACAGTTCCTCATGTTGTGGTGACCCCCAATTTCATTGTGACAAATTGAACATAATTAAAGCATAGTGATTCATCACAAAAACAACATGTAATTATATATGTGTTTTCCGACGGTCTTAGGCGACCCCTGTGAAAGGGTCGTTCGACCCCCAAAGGGGTCGCGATCCACAGGTTGAGAACCGCTGCGTTAAAAGATCTTGCCTGGGAAGTATTAACCCAACCACCGTATACACCAGAACTTGCTCCTTCAGATGACTACTTGTTCCGATCGATGGCGCACGCACGTTCTGAGCGGCACTTCAACACGCACGAAGAAGTGGAACACTGGGTCTCTGAATGGTCTGCCTCAAAACAAGAAAAGTTCTATTGGGACGGTCTCCACAAATCACCTGAAAGATGGGGGGAATGTGTAGCTGGCGATGGACATGACTTTGAAGAAAGCACTTTTGATGTTTCTCTTGAGATTATCGGGTTTTCTTGGATTACAAAATCCATGTTATTAACCGGTACACCTGGTAAGTAGGCCTGTGAAGATGGTTTATATCAAGGCCTAGACCAAGCATGTCAAACTCGCCGGCGGCAGGCCGCATGCCTCGTTCATGCTTGGTCTAGTGCCGTGGTCGGCAAACCGCGGCTGGCGAGCCACATGCGGGCTCTTTGGCCCCTTGAGTGTCTCTTCCACACAAAATACCACACGCGGGCGTGCACGGACAGTGCGATTGAAACTTCGTGGCCCATGCGCAGAAGTCGGTTTTCGGCCTGGGCGAGTCTATTTGGAAGAAGTGGCGTTAGAAGAAGTGGGGGGTGTCAGTCGGCTGGGCCGCGGGATACGCAGCACCGGGGAGGTACATTGTTTTGAGGTACGTTCGCTGAGGTCGACCCCTTCCAACTCTCCCATCCACACTCCTCTACCTGAAACAAGTCTACAAGACGAGTGTGGATGGGAGAGGTGGAAGGGGTCGACCTCAGCGAACGTACCTCAATCAGATGGAGGACGTTTTTAGCAAAGGCCAGCTTGGGAGCACCCTCATTAAGTTAATAACAATGTACCTACCTATAGAGTTTAAGTTTAAAAAATCTGGCTCTCAAAAGAAATTTCAGTCGTGGCACTGTTGATATTTGTCTCTGTTGACTAATGAGTTTGCCGACCACTGTGTATAGATCGTGTTGAGAATCCTACAGTCGATCATGTGACAAATAGAGCTATTGTTGGGAATGACACTGTGAATGAAGGGTCCCAGGTTCGATTACCCGGTCAGGGCACAGGCCCAGGTTGTGGGCTTGATCCCCAGCGGGGGGCGTGCAGGAGCCAGCCGGTCCATGATTCTCTCTCTCATCATGGATGTTTCTCTCCCTCTCCCTTCCTCTCTGACATCAATAAAAATATTTTTTTTTAAAAAAGAATGGTTAGTCTGTGTGTTAGGTGGGCAATCTAACGTTTCCTTTAGCAGTATTTGCATGGCAGAGCTGCAGGGATGATGTGGGGGGTGGAGAGGAGACGGAGGGGGGGCGATGTGTTGCTGTCGGTGTGACCGCTTGTGTAATGGCAGCTGGATGTTGTCGGGAGGCGCTGTCCTCACTGTGTCACTTCCATGTGCAGAGGGGATGCGGGCTGTGTTAGCTCCTGTAGGAACGATAGAAATCGCAGACTTGGTGACAGTTCACTCCGTGGCTGGGGTACAGTTCACTCCGTGGCTGGGGTACAGTTCACTCTGTGGCTGGGGGTACAGTTAACTCCGTGGCTGGGGGCCAGTTAACTCCGTGGCTGGGGGTACAGTTAACCCCGTGGCTGGGGGTACAGTTAACCCCGTGGCTGGGGGTAAGGCAGGCTGTTGGTGGGAGCACTGAGTGCAGAGTGTGGTTTGGTTCTGAGTTAGCTCTTAGCGCCCTGTGCCAGGCAGGGTAGCATGGAGGGTGCGAGGCCACGTGTGATTACGGGCCGCGGCTCCCAGGCCCTGGGGGTGGGGGGCGAATAATGCGATGGGCGACTTTAAGTCCATCGGGTGTAGACAGAAGCGGCGTGAATGGCGTCTCATGAGGGTAGTTTGTTAGAGGACGTAGCCCCGCCGTGTTCCGTGGGAAACCTGGGCCACGTGGTTTTCTAGCGGCAGGAACGGGGCCAGCGATGGCTTCTCCACGCGCTTCGTGGCTACACGGGAGGCCACAGGGCGCCTCTGCCGGGAGTGCCCTGGGCTTGGGGAACATGCTCACGCGATGGGCCAGACCCACGCTTCCTGTGTCATTCCTGACAGTGACCACAGGTACGGAGGCTGGTCGGGCAGGAATAAGTGCTGGCATTTTCATTGCATTTATAGCGCGGACAGCGGTTCGCCAACCCGTAAGGTTTCAAGTGTAAAAATTCATCAGCACCCGGTCTGCCCCTGCTCCTGCCCCC